TCTAGACCTTTCATAGTAATCTTCAGTCTTCAAAAAGATGTGCAAATATCAACAGGCCCCCAAATTCTCTGTACTGCTTATGACCAATTACAGTCTTTTGGGCCTTTATGGCAAGGAAGTGTCTCTTCATTCTACTGAAGAAAACTGGGAACAAGGAAGAGGGGGAAAAAAGGGCTTTTTTTCCCTTTTCTTTCACACAAAATAGAAAAAAATCCTGGCACTCAAATTGTTTTTATAAAATACTAACATAAAGAGATTGATCAGCAATCTCAAATGCCCAAGCACCCTGCCCAGTAACTCTAGAGAACGGAGTTCCATCACTTAAGATCTTCAAAAGCTGTAAGGAACTCATTAAAGTATGGTCGTTAAAATACCCTGCAACCTTGAAGTACAGCTAAACTCCCTGTCATTTCGCTCACTATTAAAACACACTAACAAATCAGAGGGAAACAGGAAAATGGCCACTACTGGCAGTCAGAAACTTACGGGCAGGATGGCTCTAAAAGCCGACAGTCTCCTCTGAGGAATCACAAGATTTTATGTTTTATTTTGCCTTTTGACTCAGTGAGTTTAAAATTCAGTTTGTAAACACATGGAAAGGAGAAGGGAACAATGTTCACATTGGAACTTGCTTCTGTCAGCAAAACAACTCAGTTGAAAACCCAGAGAGACAAGACCTTGATGGGAGAGAGGAAGAGGTTTCCCTAGGGCACCGCAGAAAGGAAAACCCTTTCTACAGCAAACACTGATTTTTGCCTCAGAGCACTCAAATGCTGAATGATGGCTTTTTTCACGAGATTTCCAAAACACATAGAGATTTTCCTCTAGCCAAAGTAATAGGTACCTGGAAAAGAAAGAGGGAGACTTCTCTGCTTCAAATAAACTATTCTCATTGAAATGTCTGCCCTAGCGACAGGCTTGGTGAGCACCAGTTTTCTTTCCAGAGTTACCTGGAACATAATAAGGTATTTCTAACTCCAGTTCTAAAATGTTTATATTAAATACAAGGGCAGAACCTATTTCTCTGATTCAGCATATATACTTTCAAGACATAATTTGTCTTTTCAAGCCTGAAGTATATTTACGTAAATGTTACCTAAATGCTACCTTTACGTAAATGTTACCCAAGCAAAACTTTTCCAACTCCAAATCTCAATTAGGAAAAAAAAAAAGCTTAGAATTCCTTTTAGATAATATGTACTGTACACATTTATACTCAGTATGAACATATATTCCTTTGAAAGCCAGAAGGGGCCTGCGCTTTCCTATTTATTTGATCTCTGCTAAGATGAACGTTGTTAGTATTGCAGGCAGTTATAGCCTCCACCTTGAGAGTCACTTCATGTTCTTGCTGTCAGCCATGAAAGATTTTTCTCCTCTCACCAGCTTGATAAAATCAAAAGTTCTATTAGTACCATCCAAAGGCAAGGAAATAGTACCTCCAGGCACCGTCTCTGTGCAACAGGGATGCTACTCTACAGAGGAGAATGCATATACACATATAACTGAATATATAAAAAACAACTATACACTATATATCTATAAACAACTATATATATATATATACATATATATATATATAAAACAACAAGGGAGTTTTGCTTTTACTGTTTCAATGCCAACGTCATGAACAGCTTTAGTGGCATAAGTTGACCAGCACACAAGGGCAAGGCCTAGTTTGCTTTATTAGGCAAACTTAATACGTACTGTTTGTTAGAGAAAGCTTAATACACACTGTTTTATAAGAAAATGCTATATACAGATATGAAGAAGGATTTTACTAGTCTTCCCCCCACAACTATATTGCAAATTTATCAAGTCCAGTTGCAGATATTTAGCTCTATTCAACAACAAGCAAAGCACAGCTGGAATTTTACGACAAATTAAATAACGAAATCAATCTTGTAACTCATTTTTCCCCAAGAATGAAAAAAAATGAATTCACATGGCATAATACTTCCTACTGCAGCTAAGATACTGTGAACCTTAACATAGAAAAGCAATTAAATCCTTCTTTATCTAATCGTTTTATGAGTCAACCTGTGTGCATTGCGGACTGGCTGTTTGAGGCAGCACTTCTTCAGAAATCATTAAATCATGCCCAAGTTCTCTCCTCCTCCATTAAACATTTCTAAACTTTTACTTTTCTCACAGAAACAAAGACAGAAGAGACACTGAGTCAACTGCTTCAAGCTGCTTAGTGTTAAATGTGACTTGTCTGAGGCAAGAGCTACGGACCACTCACATATCCACCAAGAGTAAAGCCCAAGAGGACATACACTTGATTTAAAAAACATCTCAATTGCAAGTATGAAATAACAAACAAGCTTTCTGTGTTATTTTCTACATGACAATTACAACTTTTAAATATGTTGGTACAACTACAAATGCTCTGGGACTGATCTGCAGTCTACCAGCACTGTCCCGATATGGTCACCCGCCTTGGCTCAACTTGACCTGGAAGCCAGACTTCGGTGACTGGTCATCACTGCTGAGGGAATTTTGACTTCCCTGGAGTCAGTGGCAAAACTCTACATGGGGCACAATTTCACAAAGCTTTTAGGGATTGTTTACGTTCAACTACTGCGAAATACACTTGTCTGTATCACATAACTACTTGTTCTGTGCTTTAATATGGATGTACCACACACTCATATTAAATAAACATAACATTTCAAAAGCATGCATGTTTCATGATGCAGATTATTTCACTACGCAGAAGCCACATGACAGCAAGCAGCAGCATCAGTTTTGCTAGGTATCAGACAAGCTTATTTCATCTGTGACAGCAACCATGCAACAGCTAGTTTCTCCTGTCACCTCTAAAGATTAACAAAGTGTAGGTTATAGAAATACTCAGGAAATGTACTTATAAAATAAACCAAATTATTTTAAAATAAACATTTATCCTTCCTTATTCAGAGTGATGTACATACAGAAGCACATCATGACCTCATTTATTCTTCATCAAACAAGACTCCCTACAAGTAATTTAAATGCTCTCACAAGCACCCAATTGCATCACACACAGAAGTCACTGGAGTATTTGCTCAGTTACTCTGTACTATGACAACACACAGCAGACTGAATTGAGAGTAAAACCATGCAATAAAACAAGAGTTGAAAAAGTCATACACACATTAAAAGTGATGCTAAGACAACAATTTTTGAAATAAACATATTTCTGAATCCTCTGATCATCTTTTTATACTCTAAAATTCACATTCAATAGTGCTCTCACTCCTTCTTTGATTTTCAAGGACTTCTGTCATTTAAAATTTCCTCTCACTGTTAGTTTCATTTCAAAATGATTTCACAACAACTTTTACAGATTTTGTGAGGTTTTTGCTTTTTATTATATGCACTCTCTTGTGAAGGAATAATACTTGGCAGAACTCAGCTCTCACATTGTGCATTCCGATCTCCACAAATTCACTTCACTACACTCACTCCCGACTATAAAACTATTTCTTCTTTAGAATGGAATTGAATCTTGCTCTAACAACAAATATTCAAAACATCAGCAAAGCTACTGAAATAGTGTATATTTTCTCCACAAGTGCTTATTTAAAGGAGAAAAGGGATTAAAGACTGGAGAAGGCTTTCTTACAGTATGTTGGACTTGATTTGAGGAACACACTTTACCTTAATACTTTGGTGGATGGAAACTTCCTCATATTTTTTCCCCATCTTCTCCCCTCACGCATTTTTTCATTGATTATGACACCTGAGTGATCCATGCATCAACTGAGCAGAGTCATCTAAGCTCCCCCGTCAGTCAGCCTCTAAATCTAACCACCAACGACAGGGTATTTGAGTGCCATTGGTCTGTAGGTAGGTAAAACTGAATAGCTCTGTGTTGATGGTACATCTGTTAACTACAGATTATGATAATTCAGGTAAATACCCTTAAATCTAATATGTTACAGAAAATGAACACTTAATTGTGTCATCTAAGCTCTTCCAAATTTGTATCTGTAAGGCATTGTGGAATGACATTCTAATTTTAATTTTATGTATAGAAATATTTTTCTTTAATAACTATAAATATTTGTAAGACAGACCAGGAAAGTACTCAAGCAAAGAGGTTTCAGATTGTATCATGGAGTAAAGTTATACCTTCACTTTTTATTAAATGAGTGGCTGAAAGGAATAATAAACGTGGCTCAGTCACCCTCCTGTGGATTTTGTCAATAGAAAAGAAACCACCAGATGGAAGAAAGCTGCCATAGTAAATGTATCCCAAATTCCATTCCAACTTTGCCCTGCAGATCCAAAGCTCTGGAGTTCCCCATTTCCATTATGATGGTGGAGAAAAGGGAACTCATTCTTGCAGTGTTATGGTCCCTGGGTTCCAGAGCATTTCTCTGGTCCTTGCAGGCAAGACACCACCAAATTCCCTGCTCTGTTTTGAATCAGGACCCAATGGAGCTAGCACTAGCATAATACTTCCGTCCCCTCCCCTCTATTTCTGCTGTTCTCTTGGACCAGATGATTTTACATTTAATTTGTTCCACGAGTGAGTGCGTTTACTACCACGACAAAAAAAAATACTTATTTCAGTATATAAAAGTATCTGGAAAAAAAAAAAGCATACATTAAGGCAGACAACACATATCTGTGTCTCCATTTGGCCTGGGCCATTGCAACTGAGGCTGAGCTGATGTGTCCATGGGGAAGAGAGAGTGGGATGTCCTTTGTTCTGTACAAATATATGGGACAGAACTTTGAAGCTTTATCAAAAATTGATAAAGCTTCAAAACATGACTTGTGATATGGGTTTAAAACATGACCTGTGATAGGGGGTTCCAGGAGTTTCCCATATGGCACTGAGTTATCAAAGGATTAGACAGTCCTAATTCTAAGGCACCCTGGAAGCAAACGAGTTACTTACATATGACAGACTCCTGTATTAGTGAGTCACTGGCCTACAGAAATACTTCTCTAGCACATTCATACATACAATTGATGAAAATGTGGTAAAGAAATACAAAACTTACATAGTCATGAAAGGCTTTTGCTTCACTTGAATGCTCGCATGTTTCTCGTCTTTCTGGAGCTGCACAGTAGAGATCCCAAAATACACTGCAAGTGAAGAAGTTACAGATATGATGAGAAGAAAATCATTAAAATTCTTGTGTAGACTTCATGGAGTACATCACACACACATGTGTATAAATAGAAATAGTCAGACCACTTTCTAGCCAAGAGCTGAAAACACTTACCTCCATGAAAGAATCTAGCTTTGTGAAATGTCTGTGAAGAATAAAGCCCTATTATGTGATACTCTGAGGCAAGCAGTGCTGTATTCCTTTAAAATCACAGTAGCATAAACTCAGAAGTAAGTCTAATATATAAGCTTTTGGAGTATAAAGCAAATTAGTACAGCTCTGCCTTTGACCTCATACCTCTGTGACCGGTGCAATTTACTGCCACAATGCACTGGAAGGGAGAGATTGCTACGATTATACTGGGAAAAGGCAAGAAAATGAAGAGAATGCTGGGAGTTCTTCCAGGGCCCAATACTGTCCTTTAGGCAATAGTTCCTAGAGAAATAAGCATATGAATAATAGCAAATAAGCAATCTTAAAGCTCTGTCTGTTATCGATAGAAATTAAGATACTCCAATAAACTCTTTTCCTGCCTTTAAAATACTCCTACATGAACAGACATACGACTCTAACATGCTACCCATATGCAGGACACTTAGCTGTGATAGCAGCGTCAGCCACAAAGTTTCTAGAATAAAATTAACAATATGCTAGAACAATCAAAATAACAAAATGTGTTGGACTTTCATTTTGCTTCTTTATTGTTTTAGACATAATCCCCTGTATCTCAGTCCAGCACCAGAGTACAGAACTGCAGAAAATTTAACCACTCCTCTGCAAAGAAGGAAAATCAAGAATAATGCTGGTATCAGAGAAACACAGTACGAGTTCCTCAGGCTTCCACCCCTCAATTAATGCAGCTACAAGGCAGTGCCTACGAGCACTCCTTTCCTTTGGAATTTTGCATACAGCAATCTCTCTCTGCACACTGATGCATATAAGCAAGTAGTGCCACGCATAAAAGATTACAAGGGAGCTCTGTGCTCCACCTGTGTTCCAGACTGAGGGAAACTGTGCAAAGGCAGCTGGTGCAGCAGCAAGGCCACGCTCTCGTACGCTGTCTCTCAGCAAGGCTGGCAGCTTTGGGGCACCTCGTTGCTTTCATCTGCTTTTCCCATGACTACCATGTGGACTGAAGACTGGGGAAGCTCACATCTATCTGCAGAGGCTTTGTGTGTATATATAAACACATATTATATGTTATACATATTACATTATTTATGTATGTGTATATAAATACAGCTAATATGCACATATATACATATAATTTCTAAGTGCAGTTATTTAGGACATAGAGAATGACCTCTTAAAGGCACAATCTAATGGAAGACAGTGAACAAAGAAATGCGTGCCATCTTCATTCAAAGCTGCACTTTTATTGATCTGGTATACGGTATTTCTTTTCATCCAGTGATGGAAAAAAACCAACAGCAACAAGAGCAAAAGAGTCCCTTTTTTTGGACTGAATATATACCTGATAAGTAAAAATGTGAATAACATTAAACTATGTAATTATTTTTAAACTTATTTTATCTGATTTTCTTTCTTTTGTCACTTTCCAATAAAATAATTCTTGATCCTCATCTTCATATCCTTTTCACAACGTTCTCCTGAACTTCTTGCCTGCAGTCACTGAAGTTCACCATCAGCATATTCTAAAAATCAGAGAAGAAAATTGACACTTACCACCACCAGGAGTGCAAGAATCCTGGGGGCTCCCCCAGTGTGATGTTTTTTTCCCATCTTATCTAAAAAAAAGAAAAAAAAACCACCACTCTGAGATCACTGTCACTACAAAATGTTGCACAATTTATTCAGATAACAAAAAAGGAAGAATAAAAGATTTTACAGCTATGAAAGGCTTTCTCATTATCGATCTGGATGGCCATATTGCTTACTTTATCAAACATACTAGTACAGTTGATACCTCTTATTTTAGCAAAGCATATTTTAAAATGTCTTTTTAGAGATTTTGAATATAACTTCATTAAGGACACATTTGGTCTCCCTGCATCATTAAAGCTCATCACAAAAAACGTGTTAGAAAAACAACTCCCCAGAACTTATCTAAAAGACTTTCCAATCTGCCCTGAGAAAAACACCTAAGAGAGAGAACAAATGTGATGGATTCAGCAGGTGGCAGTCTTCCCTCCACATCCAAAGGGAGCCAATGTTCCACAATCCTCAAGGAGCACTTCCTTGTTAGAGGCAATGGCACAAATGTGAGTAACACCTGAGCTCTCACCCTTGCTCCCATGGCCCAAAGAAAACGAAAAACCCGCTTGCCTTGGTACGGCTGCACGGGCAAACTCTTGAATAGAGAGGTGCTATTGAGATTGCTTTCCTGCCTAAGAAGGCTGCTTGAATTAATGCTGTTTCCAAAGGAAAGGCAGCTTAAGGATCCCCGCTTCTGGCTTCACACGCTGGGGGTTGATCAGCGAATCTGCTAGACGACCCAACACACCCGGGGAGAATCCGGCCTCCCTGCGGGACCTTGCAAATCCCAGCGATACAGTCATCAGCAACTCGGACTGCTAAAGTGCAGCATTTGGGCTCCAATGAATCCAGCAGAAAGCTGTAAGGAGCTCTGCAAGGAATAACGTAAGATTCTGTAGAAAGCCACACCCGGCTGGCAGGAAGACGGGCTCATCCTGAAACGGGGTGCACAGCGGGGCACTGCATCTGCTCCAAGCCCCTCCAGTTGCAGCTACACGTAGCAGTGGCCTGCCCAAATTTGTAAAAAATAACTGTTCAAACACTTACCAGATTCTGCTGAAGCAATGGCAGATGAGGGTAGCCTTGTTTTAATGAAATGCCTAAACAGTCTTAATATGAAAGGTATGTAAACACATACGGAGGTATTAAAACTCCTATACCAGAGTTCAGTGCTCATACTGCAGGAGGCATTGGTCAAGCCAGGAATTTTCAAAGGAAATAAATCTGGGATTCGTGTCCAACTTAATTTCCACACCCAACTCTTAGGAATGGTTGAATTAAGTATGTTAACCATATATATGCTCCTTAAATAGCTTGCAAGAGGATATATAGGATTAGTGTCTAAAAAGTTTTCTCAGCATAAGCACAACATATGAAGTTACCTAACATAAATTTGAAGTACTATCTAAGTATGCACAACCATTCAAAAATCATTCTGCAATTTAAAAACAATTTTGAAAGGTAAGCTCAGGATACTACCACTTCTGTCAACCACCTTGGCATAAAGAACTATGTGGAGCTTAAAACACAAAACAAATAAAACAAGCAATTAAAGAAAAAATTATTCATATTTTGTGTTGCATTCTATGTAACAGCAGTTAAAATATAAAAAGCACCTTTCACAATGCGGAACTTCTGCCTAACCTAACTATGCTAGAAAAAAATGTTAGTTAGAATGAAAGCACATGAATAAAAGCCAAAGCCACTGAAGAGGTATTTCACACTCTTCTTTGAAGGGTTTGTTTCGTTTTCCAAAATACTGGGACTTCTGTTTCACCTGGTAGGTGTTAGTCTGTGTAGTCTGAGGCAAACTGGCCACTCAAAAATCTATGGGCCCAGATGGGATGAACCCAAGAGTGCTGAGGGAACTGGCCGAGGTTATCGCTCAGCCTCTCTCCATCATCTTTAAGAGGTCCTGGAGAGCAGGGGAGGTGCCCGAGGACTGGAAGAAAGCCAACGTCACCCCAGTCTTCAAAAAGGGCAAGAGGGAGGAGCCRGGCAATTACAGGCCGRTCAGCCTCACCTCTGTCCCCGGAAAGGTGATGGAGCGGTTCATCCTAGAGAGAATCTCCAGGCATATGGAGGAGAAGAAGCTGCTGAGGAGCAGTCAGCATGGATTCACCAAGGGGAAGGCATGTCTGACGAACCTCATAGCCTTCTATGATGGGGTGACAGGCTGGCTGGACGAGGGGAGAGCCGTGGATGTTGTCTACTTTGACTTCAGCAAGGCTTTTGACACTGTCTCCCATAACATCCTCATACGGAAGCTCCGGGACAGTGGGCTAGACGAGTGAACGGTGCGGTGGATCGAGGGCTGGCTGGATGGCAGAGCTCAGAGGGTGGTCATAAATGGGGCCGAGTCCAGGTGGAGGCCTGTGGCCAGTGGTGTCCCCCAGGGGTCAGTGCTGGGCCCGGTGCTGTTCAACTTGTTTATCAATGACCTGGACGAGGGCATGCAATGCACCCTGAGCAAGTTTGCGGATGACACCAAGCTGGGTGGAGTGGCCGACACTCCGGAGGACTGTGCTGCCATCCAGAGGGACCTGGACAGGCTGGAGAGTTGGGCAGAGAGGAACCTCATGAGGTTCAACAAGGATAAGTGCAGGGTCCTGCACCTGGGGAGGAATAACCCCAGGCATCAGTACAGATTAGGGGTCGACCTGCTGGAAAGCACCTCCATGGAGAGGGACCTGGGAGTCATGGTTGACACTAAGTTAACCATGAGTGAGCAGTGTGCCCTCGTGGCCAAGAAGGCCAATGGCATCCTGGCCTGCATCAGGAGGAGTGTTGCCAGCAGGTCAAGGGAGGTGATTCTGCCCCTCTACTCAGCTCTGGTGAGGCCGCACCTGGAGTACTGTGTTCAGTTCTGGGCACCCCAGTATAGGAGGGACGTGGAGCTTCTGGAGAGGGTCCAGAGAAGGGCAACCAGGATGATTAAGGGAATGGAACATCTCTCGTATGAAGAGAGGCTGAGCGAGCTGGGCCTGTTTTCTCTGGAGAAGAGACGGCTCAGAGGGGATATGATTAATATGTATAAGTTCAGGAAGGGAGAATGCAGGGAGGAAGGGGACAGGCTGTTCTCACTGGTGGCCAGCGATAGGACGAGGGGTAATGGCCACAAGCTGAAGCACAAGAAGTTCCGTCTCCAGGTGAGGAGCAACTTCTTTACTGTTAGGGTGACAGAGCAGTGGAACAGGCTGCCCAGGGAGGTTGTGGAGTCTCCTACTCTGGAGATCTTCAAAACCCGCCTGGATGCCACCCTGTGCCACATGCTCTAGGTGTGCCTGCTTGAGCAGGAAGGTTGGACTAGATGATCTGTAGAGGTCCCTTCCAACCTTAAATATTCTGTGAATCTGTGAACATACAGACTTAAAAAGAATTAGGAGGAGTTATTAAATAAAAAGTAACCACATGGTCAGCTGTATCCATTCAGTTGATTACCAGTGATCTATTAAATGGGAAATGCCTCGGTAGAGGGCCCGGCCAAGCTCATGGATCTATTCCTCCCTGGCTGCAACTTCCAATGACCAGTCATTATAATGCCTGTCCTCGGGACCAGCTCTTACGGAAAGATCCTGAAGCAGAGCAGCTTCCTCCCTTTCAAAAATTGGGGTACCCCATCTGAATACTCTAAGGATTGGCCATTTTGCCCATCATACAACCCAAAGCATTTGGGGGTGCAACAGCTGTGGAGTTACTTCCATCAATGACCTCAGCCCATGTCTCCTGAAGGGAGGGAACTGCTGACCAAGAGACATGAAACATCCTTGATAACATCCATGAAACATCTGCAATCCAGGGACCCAGGAAACGGCTCCTGGATTTGTGGTCCTGCATTTTAGAGAGATGAGGCAAAGCAGAGCTTTGAAGAGCGCACTCAGCAAGGTCCACAAAGGCATCCAAACTATACGTGACCTTGTCACTGAGACAGCCCAGCAGAGGCCTTCCAGAATGTGGCCACTTGTGACTCAGCTCTATGAAAACTGAACTAAGTACTACAGCAATGCAGGAATGCTCAAGAGGAGCATCTCCAAGTTATCTAAAATCAGGGGTATTTCATGCTACGCAACCTAAATTTTTTCTTTTTTAAATTTCATTCCCTTACACCCAGCCACAGTCCCTGGGAGAAATCCAGAAAGGGCTTGTGACCACTGTCATTTAGACTCTTCTGCACTTCTCTCAACTGCTCCTCTCTCATTTTCATCCTCCATCACAATATCAATTTTCTAACAACTACAGCTGATTCGCAGGGGACATGGAAGGGTATTTTGTGGCTTTAATGGACATCATGATGTAAAGGCCAATCTGCTCCAAGAGCCACCACCATTCTTCACTCTTGCTTTTACCACTAACTTTTGTATTTTAGATTATTTCACCCTAACTATACTGGTGTCCTGCTTTTGCAACCTGAACCTCCTTTGGAGGCTTCCAGCCCCTACAGCAGCTTTTTTTCCAGGTTCATTGGTATAACGGCAGTGAAAGCAACCATTTGTTTCAACCTACAATCATTTGCAAACATTATCAGCACAAAATTTTCCCTTCTGCGCTGCTAATGAAAAGGGTAAGCAGGCTCACAGCTCTGTGTGAGATCCAGCAGACACCTCCTGCCAATACCTTCTTATTTATTGCTGTCCCTTCCTCCTTCTCTTTTGTTTGGTTGTAGTCTGAATTTGAAGGTTCAACTGGAGAGTTTCTCTATAAGCCAAGTTCAAATCAGCTTTAAACACAAAGTTCAAAGACACTGCCTTGAACATTTTCTTAAAATCCAAATGTTATACCAGTCAACTGCTCGTTTTGCAAACATACCACAAAACAAAATGAGCAAAGAGAATTTTTTGAATAATTGTAAATAATTACAAGTTATTGTATTTATTTGCAAGCTTGCAAAAGTCAAGATTATACTTGACTTATACTTGACTTATTTTCTTTCTCTCTTATTTTCCCATTGCTTTCCCAAGAGAGAAAACAATGGTCAAAATCACATGTTAATAGGGACAGAAATTAATACTAACATAGATGTAGCCCCTCTGCCTAGCTGCGCTATGTGAACTTTGTATGATAGCTACCACGAACAGCCCCTCTGTTCCTGTCCTCTCCTCTCCCACCTCCAAACAGCTATCACTAGGAGAGGATGCTAGAGCTTTGGAAGGACTATCAGTTGAGGCAGCTCATCTTCTAAGTATAACATTTAGATTTTTTTTGTACTTCTTCCTGCTCACTACTCGGTTGTTAGAACCACTTCAAAGGAAGATTAAAAACAATGATAACCTGAAAAGACTTCAATATGTTCACTGCACAGGTACTTATGTATCCCAGAATAAATACAGAATGCTAGGATGAAGGTTTTTTTGTTCGTATCTTTGAACACTGTATACAAGTCTTTAAGAGACTATTCACAGTAATAACTGCTGTGTAACAGGAAAAAAGTGTTTCCATTTAGCTGTTAAAAAGAGTTTAAGAAATAGGCTCTGAATGGTTACAGTCATAACTGATTCAGTTAGAATCATACAGTTTAGATTCAGTTACAGTCATAACCAGATGAAGAGAGCTGGTTAGAAGAATGTAAAGAACATATGTTGAAATTAGCATGGGTTAAGGGAATAAGAACTGCAAGCAGATGACGATGGGATGTAAAAGACTTGATTGCTGTGTATTTAGGATGGTACATTATTCACAGCTGGAGGTATCAACAGTAAATTAGAGGAGCATCAGAAAGCAGTACCCTCCCTCAGTGCGCTCTCTAACCAGAGCACTTATTAGGGGGGATCTTTCTCAGCAGAGCAGCAAAGCAGAGACCAGCGGGTAACAGATCACAGCTCAAACCGTCACACTATGGCATGTAGAAGGGCTTGGCATGCCAGCCTTTATGGATTCTTTACAGAAGTCTGTGCTCTTCAGTGTTAACTGAAACTCAAGGACATTCACGACGTTTGTTTTAAAACAGCATACACTTATTTTACATGCATTTTACATGCATACACTTATAAATAATAGAAAGAAAAAGTTAGGGAAACATACCTCTGATAAAAATGTCTGGGCAGATTTCTGTGCTCCTACATGGAGCAGATATTCATATACGTACAATGCTAATCTGAAAAACAAATGAGACAATATATAAGTACCGTGCATTTGCCTGGTCTTCTTTTTAGAAGCAGAAGATTTCTGAAGTCAGAGGAGCGCACGCTGTTCCCTCTCAGAAAACACTGTGCACTGCACCTGTCAAATCTGTTATCTGCACTGAACTTCTAAAGCAAGAACGTGTAGGTCAACCTGAGCAGAGGTGTTTAAATAGTAGTTAATTAAATATTATTAAAACCCCAAATTACTTAATGTCAATATTTTTAATGATATTTGGACAGGTGCCCAGTTAGCTAACAACAGACCTACTGCCACTCCGTATTTGCCCACACTATAGCATGCTTACAGTAAATATAATATACCCATACTGTAACACGGCTTATTTTTCCCCATCAGACTTGTCGTACGGGAGATGTGTCCCGCTGGAGCTCATTTGGACAATAGCCTGCGTTTATTCAAGGAACACACAAACCTTAAGCTGCACAGAAAAAGCACTGGCCGAAGCCACAGGACCACTGCAGCACAGCCCCATCCCTTTACACAGCAGAGTATAAACAGATTGTTAGGTTTGTTCCAACATGTGTGTCTCCGAGCATGACCACCCAGCTACAAATTACCATCACACTTCCAAGAGGATCTTCACAAAAAGTGATCTTCGGCAGAATTCACCGAATTCAACGGAATTGCACAAGGATCTTGCTGCAAAAAGAGCAAGACACTCTGAATACCTTGGAGCTGGAGCACTCTGTGCACCAAGCTCCAGCTGAGAGCACCTTTGCAAACACGCAGGAAGAGCTGAGCAGCAGCAACAGCTTCTGTTCAGACAGACCAGATTTGGATGAGCAAACTAAAGATGAAGCACTTCTAACCTGCAGCTTCTTCTCCAGGGAAGCTCCTGCCTTTTGAAGGTCTCACTTACTGAGATGTGCATCTCTCTTACAAATAATGATTTAATATAAATACTTAGAAATTGCTTACAGTAAAAGTCAGTGCAAGAAAGAAAAGAAAGGCAGCGTTTCTTTTAAAACTGCTACCTAAACCGCTTTTAAGAAGTTAAATCTGAGTGGACTTGGTAATTTACTGCTGTTCCTATTTGAAACACTTTGCTATTCATATTCAGAAAGATGTAGTTTAACTAAACAAAATAGAGCAGCCCAGAATTTCTCCACCCCTGTTACTTCTCAAAAGGCAATAGATACTGGATAGGATGACTGCTGTAATGGCAATGACAGAAGAGTAATTACTGTAGCAACCTGGTGGGAAATGGTGTGAAATTCTAAAATCTGGGAGGGGCTTTTTGTTTGTTCTTTGAACATAGGATCCTCACACTACTTCACTCTCTCCCCAACATGAAAAGCAAAACTTTGTTTTTTCATATAACCAAAAATAATGGTTTTTATTTAAGCATATGATTATTAAGCATATGATTTGAAGCTTACCCACTGCTTAATTCTTATATTTTACAAAATAGTTGTATATAGATTTTATTTGGTATTTTCACATAAAAACATATTAATATTTATCAATAAATACCTATCTTGGAGGGCAACAATAAAAGGCTAAGGAGAAGAGTTATTCCCCTGGAGCACAGCAAGGGCAGTGCCCGAGTGCCACACGGAGCAGGCCTGGTACAGGGAATGCCTCCTGTGAGCACCGGGGAGAGAGCTGATCGCTTGTGTTGGAGGCTGGCTTCCCAAAAGCACACCAGCACCTGTCAAAAACAAAGTCAAAGCTTGTTGACTTAATCCCTGCCAGTTGAACTGTCATTAAATTTTTAAGCAATAAATGGTTGGAGACAAAATCTAAGATCAGAAAGATGTCGGAGGCACAGAAGAGGAACTATTTCTACAATAACCAAGATGACTTATTTTCCTAGCAACACTTTAAAACATTTCATGTCTTGAGACGCACATTTTTTTTGTTCTTATCAAAACATGAAGCGTGCAGTCCAGATAAAAGGATTTGTGTGATCATATCCTTTCTAGCCAGCAAATGAAAGCTAACAGCGAAAGAACCAGCAGTTTATTGCGGATACACCACCTTTGTAAGCCTGCCGTCTGTCGAAAGCTTTAGCAAATACTGTACCATGATACCCAAATCACCAGCACAAGACTTTAATTCTAAGCAGCTTTGTACGTCTCATCCCAGGACTCCTGGATTGTATCTGCAGAGGAGCACGTGCCAGGCGGGAGAGCCGCGGCGCTGCTGCCGCTGCAGCGCAGCCTGGGAGCCTTCCAAAAACACAACTTGATTAAAACAACCAAGGAGACAGCCTTGAAAGTTCAATACAAATACACGGAATGTGCCAAGTGAGCTGTAATTAAAATTAGAACAATATTTTCTGCTCTTCGGCATACATTTTTATGTCGGTTTAACTATACTAACTGTGAAATGAACCGGTTAAACTCTTCCATTTTTGAAGGGGGAGAGGAGCCGACTTCAGGAAGAGGTAAATGGTGCAAGCCTGAGGCTTCCCAAAGGGCGCAGCTGTGATAATCTGCCTCTGGGCAGGGGAGCTGCCTCACTCCTCGCGCAGGAAAGCGGGGAGCCCCTTCCCCGAACAGACGCGAGGCAGGCGGCAGAGCTGCGTCACGTTACATCTACCTCGCTGGTCCATCCCTGGTTACTGCTCTGTCAGGGGGTCTTTACAAAACTTAACAACATTATCGTTTTATTCAGAAATAAAGGCATTTGCCACAGAGATCAAAAGAAAGATACTACTGTTTTACTGCATTAGTCACAGCAAAAGGATGAAGGAAAACTGATGCTCTGAGCAAAGACAGCAAAAAAGATGCAACGCAGGGTAACAAGGGGGATTAATGGATATAGTAACTTTAACTATGACATAAGAAAGATTAGAATAAGATAAAAATGGCCACAGTTCAAGTATATAAAATTAACACAGCAATACACTAGTTCACATCTGAGCAGATGTCTAAGAAAACAATAACGAGAAAGTCTCCGTCACCAGGGTTCAAAGTGGCATTTTCAAAGAGAGTATTTACTCAATAAACTGGTGTGAGAAACGGGGTGGGAAAGCAGCAAGCAGACATATGCTACGTTTTCATATTTACATACTTCTTGACATCCTATGAGTAACGTGAGAAGCAAATATTGCTAATCAATTTGTGTGAATTCTGCCACAACTTTTGTCAAGACAGGCCATGGGTTCTGTAAAAGTTACTGCCTGGTTCTTACTGCTACAGTACTGCGATTTTGCTCACTTTGTGTGTTCTTCCTGGTGTTTCTGCTCTTATTTGAGAGCTCAGTCATATGCTGCACAAATGAACCACTCAGGAGATCTGAGGAAACCCGTTACCAGCACACAGCACCAGCAAATACAGCCCAGTCACTGTCAGCCTGCTGTGGCAATGACTTGTCCCTGTTAGGGTGCAACTCCCTAAGTTAACTGCAATGGTTGTCGCAGTGGGTCCACTGATGACAAGTAGATGGTAAACTTCTTCAATTTCAAATCAAAAATTAAGATGACACCAAGCTTTCTATAAAAGGTGCTAGTGAAAACCTGAAGCCTGAAGAGGACGTTCGCTGCGTGTATTTTCAGCACCCAACCATGCTCTGAGTCACATTCCCTGCACGACTCCTGCAGACTTCTCCGCCTGTACGTGGGCTACTCCTCTGGCTGTTTGGATGAGCCTATGCCAGCTGCCTCCAGAAGGCAGTGCAGGTATAGACTGTGTCCTACTTGCACACCCACAGTTCTGACTGGCAAGTACCTGAACAACACACTCAAAAGAAGAATCTGCTCCTTAGGTAGGAGTTCAGTGACGGTGGCTGCTGGCACGGAAGCTGTCTCAAGGGCTCAAGTCACAGCAAGAACTCCTGGAGGAACAAAATATTTGCAAAGAGGGAAATGGCAGCATCATTATTAGTTCAGTGAGAAGATACATATTTAGAGAAGTGGCTGTGTCTCAATCCAGGACAGCACATTAGCATTCACAAAGGGTGATCCACTGTGCCCTGTCTTGCCCTACAGGCACAAAGCTTGGGTCAAAAAGCCCAAGAACAGACAATGAACGGACACTGCTCCACCCTGCAGCCCAGAAGCTGGGCTCAGAAGAGTGAGGAGCTCCTGCTCCAGCTGCAGCAGATCCAGCTCCTGCCGCATCAGCTCCTGCTTCCTCCTCGAACTGCCCGGTAAACCTGCCAGGAGCAGGCAACTATCACACAGAGTTCCACTGAGCTGGGAAAAGCTTTACTTCCATTGCTTTACTAGCCACTTGCCACAACTAAAAATACACATATATATTTTAACTGATGACACAGTTGTGCAGCCATTACACAGAAAGCCATAAAATCAGAGGGGGTAAGAAGGAAAGCCTCCAGCTCCCCAAGCTTGGCAGTGCGCCAAAGCAAGTCCTAAGTTCTGCCTCTACCTTCTCACAACTGGGCTAAACAACCGGTGCCTTTTTCCTAAAATCTATGCCGATGAATGAGCCTGAATGCAGAAATATGTCAGCTTATTCCCTGGATGTTAGCAGCACCTTTGCCAGTAACAGCCATCACACTGTTAATGTTGGACAGTCAGTTTTTCTAAAAAATCATATATATTGTCAGAATGCTCTTGATCTGAATACTGCAGAAATAAACTTATCATATTGGGATTGTTAAGAGACTTTTTTAAGGCTAATTCTGTATGGGAAGTTCTGCAGACAATATACAATTGCCTTGTAAAATGCCTAATATTACAGTAAGAAAAATCACATTGAAAACTAATAAACCAATGCCCATAGACAATATCTAGTTTGTATGTAGAAGAGTGAAGCAGCTGAGCAACATTTAAAAGCAGTTCTGTAGAACAGGTCTTAAATGTTCCTTCCTGTGCTTCGGGAGTCTTGGAGTATCACAGAATCACTGCTGCTGACCCATGCAAAGATGCAGAATTTTTTGTTTTGTTTTGGTTAAAACTCTCCAGATCCTGAGATTCTGGGAATCTCGTTGATGTACATAACTTATAAATCTCATTCTCTAAAGTAAGAGAGAGTTGCACTGACC